GGTACTTGCTTCGCCTCCCTCTGCAACGAAATGCAGGCCCTCCCCCTGCATTCTCGTCTGTCTTGAGCCCTGGGCCACCTCTGTAGCCTGGCTGCCCGCGACCCCAGTGTCCTTCATTGCCAACCGCCTTTCCTGGGCGGGCTTCTGCCAGGCCTCGTCTGATGGAAGGAAATGTCCTGAACTAGAAATAGACATCTCCCCAAAGCCTCAGCAGCATCTATTTTTTTGTCATGATGTGATTATGTATGTAAACAGTCAAAAGAGTCGACGGACTATTTAAAAGAACCAATTTGAGTTTTGCAATGCTACTCGATTCGAGGTCAACATACAGAATCGGATGCTGTTTGCCCCTGCCAGCACTAAATAGTTAGCGAGTAAAACATAAGGCTCTGCCTAAACCGGCCCCAGGGACATCAGACACCTGGGAGTGAATCTTGCAAGCCACGTGCCGGGCCTCATTGCCAACAACCATAACGCATTGTTAGGAGAGAGTAAAAGCAAGCGAGTGACGAGGTGGGACTTGCTGTGTCCAGAGAGAAGTGAACACCCTCTCTGTCCCCAGAGCTCAGGCCAGCCCGTGCCCCTGGTGGTGGAGAGCTGTATTCGCTTCATTAACCTCAACGGTAAGCCTGGCACCCAGTACGTGGCACCCATGTAGAGGGTGTGGGGAGAGGGCTCAGCGCCCACTGACTCTTTGTCCTCCCGCAGGCCTACAGCACGAGGGCATCTTCCGAGTGTCGGGTGCTCAGCCCCGGATCTCAGAGATACGCGAGGCTTTCGAGAGAGGTGGGAACGGGCAGGGTAGGGTGGCGGTGGGGGTTAGCTGGAATGGGTACGATCGGCCTTCTTGTGCCCTGTGTTGTCCTCAGGGGAGGACCCACTGGTGGAAGGCTGTACAGCCCATGACCTGGACTCGGTGGCAGGAGTGCTGAAGCTCTATTTTCGGAGCCTGGATCCCCCACTCTTCTCCTCGGACCTGTTCACAGAGCTTCTGGCTTCCGCTGGTGAGGCCGGGGCCTGAGGTTCGCTGGGTGGGAGGGGCCGATCCCCAGTGGCTGTGTCCACATTTGTGGGCTTTTTTTCCTCTTTGGGGTGGTGGCCTTGGCCACAGACCTGGAGGCCATGGAGGAGCGGGTGGAGCTTGTGAGCCGCCTTCTGGCACAGCTGCCGGGACCAGTGCTGGTGGTCCTACGTTACCTCTTCACCTTCCTCAACCAGTGAGTGCTTCTCAGGAGGCAGGAGCAGCTGATGTGGGTGAGGGGTGCTGGGGACACTGGGCAGGGAGTTCCCGCTTGTGACTTGCATGTGCCCCCAGCCTGGCCCAGTATAGTGATGAGAATATGATGGACCCGTACAACCTGGCCGTGTGCTTCGGGCCAACACTGCTGCCCGTGCCCGCCGGGCAGGACCCTGTGGCCTTGCAGACCCGGGTGAACCAGCTGGTGCAGACGCTCATCGTGCAGCCTGCTCGGGTTTTCCCATCCCTGACCCTGCTGCCAGGCCCCGTCTACGAGAAGTGCATGGCGCCACCTTCTGCCAGCTGCCTGGGGTATGTGCTCTTTGTGCTGCCTGGAGTGGGGCGGGGCATCCAGCCGAGGGGAGCCCCACCAACCAGCCATGTTCCTCTCTCTGCTCTGGACTTCAGGGACGCCCAGGTGGAGGGCCTGGCAGGGGACAATGAGCCAGAGCTGGAAGCTGGGACCCTGGCCCAGGAAGATGGTGAGGGTATGGAGAAGAAGGACCCCACCCTGTCCCCACCCTGGATGCCCACTTCACCCTCCCACTGAGATCCTCTCTTCTTCCCAGTCCTGGAGGGCGTTGTGGAGGCCGTGGCCTGCTTTGCCTACACGGGCCGCACAGCCAAGGAGCTGAGCTTCCAGCGCGGGGATGTGCTGCGGCTGCATGAGCGGGCCTCCGGCGACTGGTGGTGGGGCGAGTGCGCCGGCACCCGCGGACTCATTCCCCACAAGTACATCACGTTGCCTGAGGGGTGAGTGAGTGCCACGTGCTTCCAGGAGGCTCTCCAACAGCTTCCCTTCAACCCAGGTCTCGGCCCTTCCGCCGCCCCGAGTCCCAGCATCCGGAGGCTTTTCTGTGTGCCTTTCTGACTCCTGGCTGGCACTGGCACACAAAGCCTGCCCACCTCCCCCAGCACCCTAAACAGGCCGTCTTTCTGACCACAGAGCAGAGAAGCCGTCGGTGGGCCAGGGGCTGCAGGTTGCAGGGGAGCTGGTGAGCAGTCCAGAGGGCCTCCTGGCCGCGGAGTTTGTCCATCGGTGAGCAGGGGGTATGCGGCCCATCGGGAAGACCCGTTCTCACGGCCTCACTTGCCTACTCCCACCTGAGCCCCGTTGGGGGGCGCCAACCCTGTCCCAAGCAATGAACAGGCTGGAGGGGGCTGGGGTCAGGTTTCGGGCACACAGAGAGGGGCCCACTTAGGTAAGGGATGTCAGTGGACCATAGGATGGACCCTCTGGGCCAGCCCCTCTGTCTTTGTCCCTTGGGCACGCCCTGAGATGGGAGGAGCCACTGCCTGTTCAGTGCAGGGACTTCCCAGGGCCCCTGCCCGGCTCACTGTCTGTGCCCTGCAGGCCAGAGCCATGCACCTCACCCGGGGGCCCTTCTGGGCACAGACGGCACTTCGTGGTCCCAGCCTCCCCCGAGCGACTAGTGGAGATGGATAAGGTGAGAGCGGGCACTGGCTGAGCGTCAGGTGGGAGCATGTCTCCTGGGGGGGTCTCTGTCTCCCCTTATGAATCAGATTCTTCCTTCCTGAGGTCTGAGTCTGCCCCTCCTGGCCTCAGACAGGCTGCCTGAGGCTAACCCAAAAAGTGACAGGTCAGCAAGGATATAAGTTTACGGGGAAGGACAGGCCCAGTGGCAGGGGAGAGGGTGACATGAAGGCTCATGCATTTGGGCTTTATGGTTGGTTGAGTGGGAAGTGGTGAGTGGCATGGGCAACGGCTATCGGGCAGGCTTTAAGGCTGGAATCTGGAACAAAGTTAGGTGACAGATGGTGACATGGCAGGAGCTTGGTGGGCCAAGGAGGATGAGAGGGACAGATGGAAAGAGGCTGGAGGGGGTGGCTGGCTGGAGAGCTGGGCAGCACGGTGGCTGTGTTGGGAGGAGAGAGTAGGTGCTGTGTGCAGCCGCAGCAAGGTGCCAGCCTGGGGAGACCAGTCCCCGCTCTGTCTCATGAGTTCGTGTCGACCCCCTGATGGGTGCTCACTGCTCCCAGCCAAGGCAGAGGCCCTAGGGACAGTCTGTGCTCATGGAGAGAACCGGAGAGCACACTGTGTCCTAGGTGTAGCCCAGTGGCCAGTCCTGGGAGCCCAGGGACGGGGCTGAGTTGGACCAGCAGGTGGTAGGACTGAGGCAGCGCAGCCAGCAGAGACATTCCAGGGGAGGCAGGCAGCAGGCAGGGCCAGGCGAGGTACAGGCAGCTGCTGACCTGGGAGGTCCTGCATGCTGGTGGCCCCCGAGGTCACGTGAGAGGTCTGGGCCAGGGAGAGAGTAGGCATGAGGCTCCCACACGGCAAGGCTAGGTTGAAGGTTGCTGTCCCCAAAGGAGGTTGTGAGAGTCACACCAAAAGTGGCAAGAGGTAAACTGGGCAAGGGAGGAGGGACAGTAACTGCGGGCGCATAGAGAGGAAGGGCCCAGTGACGGGTTGGTAGCAGAGGACTTTGTTTTTGGAGTGGGGAGTTCTGGTGGAGGCTTGGGCAACAGAGAGTGGGAGGGTCTGGTGCCCGGGTTAGTAGTCATCACACTGACCGGGCATGGGCGGGGGAGTGGCAGGGGTGTGTGGCCGGGTGGCGGGGGATACTCCTACCAGAGGCCCTCCTTCTCTCTACCAGGCTGTGGCACAGACCATGGACTCGGTGTTTAAGGAGCTCTTGGGCAAAGCTGCTGTCCGCCAGGGCCTTGGACCAGCATCGACCAGCTCTCCAGGCCCCGGGCCCCGCAGCCCGAGGCTTCCAGGCTGCGGCCGCCTGGGCAAGCACAAAGGCTTCTCCCGCAGCCCTGGGGCCCCGGCCTCACCCTCAGCGTCCCACCCCCAGGGCCCGGACTCACCCCTCAAGCCACAGTGAGGTGCTGCTGGCTCCTTGGCAGGCCCCCCCACCCTAGGGGATCACCGGCAAGACTCTTCACCCTTCCCGGGCCCTTTGCTTTTCCCTGCCCTGTCCAGCAAGCACCGAACACCTACTCCTCATCCTTTGCAGAGAGAAGGACGTGGCCGGCCGAACAAACTCCTGCCTGCCCCAGCCCCGGCTTAGGCCCTTTTAGCAGGCAGCCAAAGAGGGAGGCTGGGGGCAAGCCCCTCCCCAGCCTTTCTGTGAGGGCTGTTGGGTGGTGCGTGCTCTTGCTCAGGTGAGCGTGCCCGTCTGCGCTTCAGCCAAGGACGTGGGACTGGCAGGGCTCGGCAGCCATTCATTCATAAAGACTGACTCCCCCACGTGATCCAGTTCCCTTGTGTTGGTGGATTGGGCAGGCGGGTGCAGGGCCAACTCCCTGGCACCCCTACTGTTTGAGGCCAGATGCCAGGGTGCTCAACAAAGGGGAAAGGTTGAGCAGCTGGAACAGCCTCTGCGGGCGGCGGGGGGACACTTGGCATAGGGCTGTGTGGGTTGGGGACTTGTACATTTGAAGGCTCGGTCACCTGCATCATGGGTTCTAGAGTCACACATGTGTCTGTGGTGCTATATGTATGTGGGGGGTTCTGAGAATGTCTTTCCATGCCGCCTTCACACCCACTGTTAGCCTGATCCAAGGAAACACACTGGGTGGAAAATGAGCTGACACTTTTATTATTAGGGAGAGAGTGAGAAGGGACACAGGGCAAACAGACAAGTGAGGAAAGGAAGCTCCGGAGAAGGAAGCTTCCTTCTGAGCTCCGGGCACAAGCCACAGGCCACACACCATACTGCTGCAGCCCCTCCTCGTACCTAGTGCCAAGGAGCTGACCTCCCAGGGCCCTCGCTATCCCGGAGCCAATTCCCAGTTGGCCCTCCTCCCTCTGAACGCCAGGACCAGCCCCCTGGCAGGCGGCTGAGCTCTGTGTAGCCTCTGGAAGGAAGGCGCCCCCTGGCTTCTCAGGAGGAAGTGTCCTTGGCCAGGAAGGAGCTGGCGGTGGCACAGGACTCCTCTTGGGGCCCCAGGCTGGGTGGGGTGCGCCTCCAAGCGCAGCAGAGCAGGCTGCGCAGCTCTGAAGAGACGCTGCTGCTGAAGGAGGCATAGATCCAGGGGTTGGTACAGCTGTTGAGGCTGCCCAGCAGCATGAGCAGCACGAAGGGGGGGCCTGTGTAGGTGGAGGAGAGGGGTTGGGGCTGAGGGTGCCCAGGCGGGGGTGCGACCCCATGTGCCTGCTAGTGGTTAGTGATCCCACAGCTAGATGTATGTGTGTGTGTGGGGGGGGGTAGAGGTGCATATGCATCCAAGCCCCAGCCCTCCCCATAACTCTAGCCACAGCCACACCCACCTTCCAGAGGTGCCTCCGGGTCCCACGCTGCCCACAGATGTACAAGGAAGAAGGGCGCCCAGCACAGCACATAGACAATTACAATCACCAGCGTCATCCTCACGGTCTTGGCCACAGCTGCTGACACAGGGGCTCTCTCGGTGGAACTGCCTGTCCGGGACCCTCTTCGGCGCCTCCCAGCCCCCTCTGCTGGCCCCAGAACCAGGCTGGCATGAATCTCCCGGAAGATGAGCACCTGACAGGCAGCGATGCCCAGGGCAGGTGCTACAAACACCATCAGGGCAATCCAGGTGACATAGGCACGAAGGCCCCAGGGTTCGACAAAGTGACCCCAGCAGTCGAAGACCCCGCTGCCAGCTCCCACCTCACGCTGGGCAAAGATAAACAGCTGTGGCAGGCTGAAAAGGAGCGAGAAGGCCCAGGCTGCCAGCACTGGCCGGTTCCAGTGAGCTCCACCTGCGTGGCGATGTGCCAGCATGGGGTGGCAAATGGCACGGTGGCGGTCCAATGTCATGGCCAGGATCATGTAGGAGGAAGCATACATGCCCACCATCTGCAGGTACTTGATGGTCCGACACAGAGCATCGGGCCCTTGGAAGCGGTCGGTGGCATCCCAGGCCAGCTGGGGCAGCACTTGGAACAGAGCCACAGCCAGGTCAGCCAGGCACAAGTGGCCGATGAAGACGTGCATAGGTGCCCAGCGGCCATGACGGCCCCGCCGAGCCAGGGCTGCCAACACCAAGCCATTGCTCAGGACCACAGCCACAAAGACTATGGAGAGCAGGGCCACCTCCGCCTGGGCCAGCAGCTGGTTCCGGGCGTCCACAGGCTTCTCCTTGCTGCTGTTGCCAAGTGGAAGGGGTGGAGAGACGGGCTGAAGAACAGCTGGGCGAGGAGGGGGGGAGAGAGGGCAAGTTAGGGAGGGTGCTGCGCAGGCCGATTGGAGAACCCAAGGAGGTTCCAACGAGACAGGCAGAGCAAGCGGCCTGGATATCTTCTGCTTCCCTTCCACCAGCAGAGCGCACATCATCTCCCCACCTCACGTGAAACGGAGGGAAGGGCAGCCCCAGCCCCCATGGGCAGCCTTGGGAGAAGGGCAAAAGAGGTGTCTGAAGGAGGGGCTTCTTGGCTCCCTCCAACCCCACTCCAGCCAACGCCACTCAGCCCACCTGGCTCATCCCAGCTCGGGGAGGGGTAGGGACCCAGTGGCTAGAACCTTACCAGAGGTGGTGGAAGCCACAAGCATGTTGGGGCCGGGGCGGGTGTCCTGAGCACCTGGAGGAGAACAGGGTGGCGAGCTCAACCTTCCATCCAAAGGGCTCGCCCTGCTGCCCAGAGTCTGTGGACAGAGGCCCTTAGAAAGGGGCCAGGGTGGCAGGGTGTCTGTGTGTATGGTGGGGTGGGGGCTCCAGCCTGTGCATGTAGCTGTGTATCAGCGATCAGGCGCTGGGGTCTGTGTGTGCGCATGTGTGCTCTAGCGATCGCGAGCTGGGTGTACGCCCTCAGCTCAGTCGGGGTTGGTAAGGTGTGGCCCCATTGAGCCAGGCATGGACCTCAGGGCCCTGCTCTTCTCCTCGAAAGGCTGGGCAGAGGAAGACAGAAAAGGGGGCAATTAAATAGATGGACAGACTGAGCCTAGGGCCCAGCTAGGCAGTCCACAAGACCCAAAGCAAACATCTAGAACCTCCTGCCCTAACAGAGGTCAGGAGACGGGATGGGGAAGGGCTGAGGGCTGGGCGGGGAGGGCCAGCGTGCCTCCGGGACCCCTGGCAGCCCCTTACCTGGCCGGGCTCCTGGATTCCTGGGAAGCTGGGCAGCAGCGGGCTCCAAGGTATCCCAGGAGCTCAGATCTGCTCTCCATCGCCTGCCCCGCCCCAACCCAGCCTCTGGGAGTGACCTGCCCAGGAGGGGACTTCCTCCCCCCTCCCCGTGCACCTCCCCTGGCCTCCTGCCTGTGGCACCGGGAAGGACTGCTTCCCTTCCTGCCCCCAGCCACTCCAGGGCCTGTTCCCAGGACTCCTTTCCCCGACTCCGTTTCTGAGGGCACTGAGGCTGGTCCCCATCTTGACCCAGCTGTGACCTAGAGGCCAGCTACCCTCCCTCCTCTGTACTCTGAACTGCCCTCACCCTTGCAGGGATCAGTTTACTGGCATGTCGGCTCTGGCAAGGCTTTGGGAGATCACTTAGTTCAGGGTCTCCATGATAAGTGGGGAAACTGAGACCAGAGATGGGTGGGACTGGCTCAGGATCATACAGCTTTTTGGGGGGCAAAGCTCGACTCCTTTCCCAAGCCAGGCTCCTTCTGGTCCTCTGTGCAGGGGTAAGGAAAGGGTGAGAGCTCCAGGAATCCCCACTAACACAGAGGCCCCTCCCCCTCCTCAATGAGGGCTGGCCGGAGATGAGGGACAGGAAGGGAGGAGGTGGGGTGAGATCAAGCCGGGTCTTAATGTGCCCAGTGAGATCCAGTTTCCTCCCCAAGGCCCAGTGGGAGCCGGGGACCCTCTGCCCACCCCCTCCTCCCCCAACTGAAACTACCTGTCCCGGGAAGAGGAGGCTTCTGAGCTCCTGCACTCATGCATATTCCAGCTCTTCCTCTCCCCCCCTCAATCCTGTCTCCTCCCTGTCTCTCTCCCTCTTTTCTCCCTCCCTCTTCCTCTCTCTCTCTCTCCCTCTCCCCCACCCCCACACACCCTCGCATATGCCCACAAACAGCCATATGCCCACAAAAGCGCACACACACAGTGTCATAGACAGACATACACGAACATTTCTGCACCCTGTGTAGGAGCTTCCCTGCCTGGGTCTCTAGGCAGCGACCTTCCTCGCCTCCCCTTCCCCTTCTCAAGCTCCAGGACTTTCTCCAACCACCAGCTCATTGGTTTCCCCATCCCAGGCGCCCTCTTTCCACCCCTCCCCTGCCCTTGCCACAGGCCTTGACCTCCTCAGCCTAGGTGAGGCAGCCCAGTGCAAGGCAGTGGCCCGCACGCTGCCAGAGGCCAGGCTCTGGGCTGAGTTCAGCGCTTTTTTCCTGTTTGTCCGTCTTCTCTGTTGACCTGCAAGCCTAGAAACCGAAAACAACCCCACAATGACCAGCCCCAAGTACAACCAAGTCCAAGGCTTCCTCTTCCTAGCCAGAGAGGCTGGCCGTGCCCCAGCCCCTCCTAGCCTTTGACCGGGCAGCAGGGGACGTGAGGGCAGGTGTCTTATACACTCCGCACCCCCCACCCTACGCACCGCAGCCACACATACAGCAGCACATGGTGCACACTATTCCTACACGTGCCGCACAGACAGCACGCAGTGCACACACCACACCACACACACACACACACACACACACACACACGACTCCCGGACATCACACATGTGCCGGCCCGGAGTGACGTCTGTGGCCTCGGTCCCCAAGATTCTCCCAGACTTGCAGGAGATATGGGATCTCTCTGGTCCACACCAGGAACTGAGGTGCCTACAGAGGAGCACATGTCCCTGCTTTGCGATTCCCCAGCTGTGCGACCTTGCACGGGCTATGCCCAGCTCTCTCCACCTTAACCTATTCCTCTGTACACTAGGAATCTAATAATTGAAGGTCAACCCGTGGTCATTGGATGGGCAAAGACCTGGAGCCAGCAGGTGATAAGCCTCCAAAAACATCTGCTTGTACCTAATGTAGGGCAGTGGTAGAGGCTGGGGAAGGAAGCTCCTGGGACTGGTCAGGAAGTGGTACCAGCCTTCCTGGACAATCATTTCCTTATGAGTTTCTCTGCTAGGGGTTGATAGAGGCCATGCAGGGCTAGGTCCCAGTGGAGAGCTGCCGCAGGGCGGGGCTCCTGAGCCATGAGGCTAGGCCTGTGACCATCTCTGTTCTGCACACTCCTGGTTTCCTGTTGTTGAGCCCAGGGAAAATTCTTGGGGAAGGCCACCCCCGCCCCCCCCCGCCTGTGGTTTTCTCTGGGCTTCAAGAAGCAAAGGGAGGGGATGTGTCCACTCCAAGGCCGGAACATAAAGGGAAGCTGTTCACAGAACCACTCCCCCCACCCCGTCAGCCAGGACCTCTGAGAAACTGAGACCTACGAAGGCGGAGGGTGTGCCAGAGAGTCTGGTTCTTCTGGGGAGAGCCCAGAAGGCTCAGGAACCCACGGTGCATGTGCTGGTGCTGTATGGGCGCTGTGCCAAGTGAGAGGCCAGGCCCGGCCAGCTGAGTCCCATTGCCTGTTGCAAGGAGCTGGTCAGAGGTGAGAGGCCCCAGGCAGGCCTCTGCTCCAGCCATCCCACAGGGGACAAGAAAGATGGGGCTTGACAGCAATTTATGGAAAGAAAGGCGTACTGGAATATTCAGTGTCAGGGCCACATGAGTCAGCGGAGATGGCACTGGGATGCCCGGGAAGTCCTGTCCCCTGGCCAGCATGAGCTGAGGACAGGGGAGACCGGAAGATGGGTGGGGTCCTAGAGAGGAGAAAGAAGGCAGGATCCATGAGAAGCGTTTGAGGGGGTGGCCTAACCCGCCCATGCTCACCCCAGGTAGCACTGGGAAACTTGTGGAAGGCTGGAGAAGGGCCTGGCCATGAGGCTGACCTGCTTGCTACCTTCAGTGGGCCTCAAGCCTGGGCAGGACTGAGCAGACACCCTTCTCACACCCTCAGTCCCCCCAGGGCAGCCCTTCTGCCCTGCTTTCCACCCTCCCCCTCTAGGATGGCATTTGCAGAAAGAGTTCTGTGGGTGGTCGAGGTGTGGGCCTTTGTCTCCACTAGCCCAGTGTCTGAGCAGAACAGGACGGGGGCTCCCGGGAAGCAGGGGCACTGACTATCCCAGGCATCGGCTGCCAGGCCAGGAGATCAAAGCTGCCAGGCTCTCAGATCTGCCTGTTCTGCTCTCTCACTGGCTGGCTATAATCAGAACCTTTTGCTCAACAAACAGCAAGTTCTGGCCTTGCACTGTGGGCGTGGTGATGAAAGGACCCGGGCCCCGTCAGGAGGAACACAGGGTTTTGTGTGAAAAGAGTGAGAGCAAGGCCCAGAAAAAGCACCCAGGAGAGAAATGATGGGACACGGTTAATGCCAGCAGGTAGTGGGTATGGAAAGGAAAGGCATTTCTCAGGCCCTGGATAGATCATTAAAAAACATTTGGGAAGAAAGACTAAGAGGAGCCAGGTAAGGATGTGGAAAAGAAGTGATGAAAAACCAGGAGAGCTTGGGTTCATAAGGCTGGGAGGAGAGAGAGGCGCCCCAAAGGAAGGAAGGACACAAGCAAAGCTGCTGAGAGGCCTTGGGAAGGAGGCAGGAGCCCCAGCTGGGCATTTCTCCCAACTGGGTGTGCATCACACATGGTGGACCCTGTGTGGCAGCGAGAAGAATGAATGCACTTATACCAACTGAAGTAATACACAAGCGGCACCATGAGGAGAGCCGGCTGTCATTCAAATGCCTAGGAGAGGCTTGGGATGGGGTGAAAAAGCTTTGGGTCAAAGGATGGAATCAGAGTGGGGAAAGCGTGCACGAGCGCATGCAAGCATTCACTGGGACATGCGTGGGCCGACTACAACAGGAAGACAGGGTGTCCACTGATCTGAAGTAAAGTGAATGGTCATTTTCAAAGTTAGACAAAGCCCAATTGCAAGTCGTAGGAGGGAGGAGAGTGGTACCTGTGGATCAGGAGCCCTGTAGGCTGGGAGAGGCAGAGTGCCCAGGAGCCTCTGGGGTCACCACTGTCCTGAGCTGGGGAGTGGTGTTTTATTGGGATTTTATTTTGCATTTTCCTTATGACTGATGATGGTGAGAATCTGTTCATACGCTTATTTGGCATTTGTATATATTCATTGGTGAAGTATGTAGTCAAATCCTTTGCCGTTTCTAAAATTTATTGTTTTGAGAGAGAGAGAGATCAATTCGTTGTTCTGTTTATTGATATGTTCATTGGTTACTTCTGGTGCCCCGACCAGAGATCGAACCTGCAACCTTGGCATATTAGGCTGACGCTCTAACCAACCTAGCTAAACCCAACCAGGGCCTGTCAATTTTTTAAGGTTTTCTCAATTACTGAGTTGTAAGATTTTTAAAATTTTCAACGTATTTTGGTTTCAAATCCTTTAACTGATATGTTTGCAAATATTTTCTCCCAGTCTGTGGCTTGCCTTTTCATTTTACTAACAGTGTCTTTTAAAAAGCAAACATTTTAAATTTTAATGAAGTCTAATTTTAAATGTTTTTTTCATGGTTTGTGTTTCTTGTGTCCTATCTAAAAAGTCTAATCCAATGTCCCAGATACTCTCCTATGATCTCTTCCAAAAGGTTTTATATTTCTAGCTCTTATATGTAGGTGGGAGAATCATTTTGATTAAATTTTGTGCATGGTATAAGGTAAAGGTCTAGGTTCATTCTTCTGCTTGTGAATAACCAGTTGTTCCAGTACCATTTGTTCAAAAGACTGTCCTTTCCTCACTGAATTACCTTGGCACCTGCGCCACAAATTGACCCTGTGTGCGCATCTATGTTTTGATTCTCGATTCTGTCCCACTGATCTGTATCCTATCCTTATACCATGGATAGGTATAAGGATACCTATGGAAACAATGCTACATTGTTTCTATTGCTGTAGATTTATAGTGAGTCTTGAACTCAAAGAGTATAGATCTTTCAACTTTGTTCTTTCTCAAAATCATTTTGGTTAATGCAAGTAATTTGCATTTCCATGTAGATTTTAAAATCAGCTTGTCAGTTTCTAAAAAAAAAAAAAAAAAAGGTCTAGCTTGTAATTACCTGTACATTGACTCCGTAGATGAGTACGGGGATAATTGACATCTTAACCATAATGGGTTTTTCCACCCATGAATATGTTATTTCTCTCCATTTATTAAGTTTCTTTCATTTTTCT